GCCAAAGCCGTGAAGTGTGACCCAGAAGCATCAAGGCCACTATAATTGATTGAGGACCTAACCAAAAAATTCCGGTCAATGAATATAAATGGGAGAACACTTGTATAAACAGCTACATCGCAGGATTATAAGAATCGTGCTAGCTGTAAAACTAAAACATCTGACATATAAAATGGACTTCGTGACTTAACAGATTTAGCATCGCTAATATGTCCAACTGGTTGCCAATTTTCAATTATCACTAGTTATAAGCAGCAGAATTCCCTAACTGATCTACTTGAATAAAGTTAACGAAATTGATTAGCAGAATTGAATCCCCCAAGTCACCGTTCCATTGAGCAGTCCCATTTCAAAAAATAGATATAAATTCAATTTTCTGCCTTAAGAAAGGATAAGAACCAGTTTACACCATAATACTAATTTACAGTATTCTTAACCAAATAAATAAGACTTCTAAACCCAACCAACATAGTCAGAAGTAAAAAAGGCAGCATAAACAGTGAATCCTAAGAGTTCCACACCTCGACATAATCACAATCAATAAACGGGGGCATACGGAGGAGCATTTCGTAATTCAATATACAGATTAGATTCCCTTCGTTTTTCCCTTTAAAATCAAATGAGCAGAACAGTTATCTACTTCTATTTGCTACAGACTTCACCAAATTTAAGATTCTAAAACATAAATTCAAATTATAACCCAAAACACACACACACACACACACAGAGAGAACTCATACCTAGGTGAAATCGGACGAGGAGGAGACGGAGAAGGGAGGCGAGGAAATTGGGCAAAAGGGTTCTGAGCTGCAGGCGGCGTACTTGGACCAGAGTTCTTCCCAAATCCACCAAATGACATTCTTCTTTCTGAATTTTTCAGATCTTTATTGTCCACATACAAGTACGTGAACTGTGTGAGAGAGAAACTATCGAAAAGGCGTATAATATACACCTAGGGAAGGGTGTACGTCGTCTTCTTCAGGTCCCTTGGAGCTCAGTAATTTTGTGATGTCAGAAGAAAAAAATTGGGGGGAAGGGTTTTTCAGATTGAAGACGACGAATGAATATGCACATTTCCAAACGGCGTCGTATTACGAAAACGCTGTTCTTGCAACACCGACTTCTTTTTGTTACCGCTTTTCTTTTTCTTTTATAAAGACTTTTTTGAAATTGGAATACTATTTGTGCAATAATTAATTTCGGTTTGCATTAAGTTTAGTTAGAAATAAATCGAATCGGACCAAGTTGACAACTTTTTACGATTAGACACATTTTGAATCTATTAAAAGTTCAACATAAAATGAAGTGGATTTAATCAAGCCCAATTAAATCACAAGACAAATCTATCAAAAATCAAAATTAAAAATTAAATCCAATTTCTCAAATCGTTTAATCACAATTTATGTCACTTCTCATATTCAGCATCCACCCCCAATGTTCCCCCACCGCTCGCCACCGTCGCCGCCTGCAGCGCTCATTCAACAGCGTCAACACGACATGCCTCTCTCTCTCTCTCTAGATCTCTCTCTCAACACGCTTGATGCCGATTGATCCAAATTCGATCTACTTTGAATTCATTCATGTTGTTTTATTTTGGATTCAATTCTTTTTTTTATCTAATCCACATGCAGTGGCGGATCCAGGATTTTTGCCAAGGGGGTGCTAAATTGTAGAATAAAAAATTTAAATATCACTTTAGAAAAATAGTGGACCAAAAATTTACAATTTGAAAATTTTAGGTGAATTGTGTAAATATTTAAAGAGAAAAAGGGTGAAAAATGTAATTATTTGAAAAAAAATCAGCTTTTTAGAGGCTGGGGGTTCGAACCCGGGACCAATTAACAAAAGAAGGAACATCTTTACCAACTCAACCAACTACTTTTCTTGTGAACTTATGTATAACAGTATTATTTGTTTAAAATCAAGGGTGTGCAACTGCACACCCTAGACCATGGCTAGATCCGCCACTGTCCACATGGATCCATAACGAATCGGGTCCAAGTTAAGTGAATCGCCACCCATAATAATCATACATGAGCTATAATTAGTTCCAAGAAATATCAAATATATTTCGATCCGTTGTAAGTAGTTATTTCATCGCATTTACACGTAAAATAATTCATGAATATATAAATAAAAATATATAATTCATAATAATACGTAAAAAATTCGAATTTCGAATTACATCCCTCACCTACTTGCTCAATTTGTAACGAAAATTCAATCCTAATATAAGAAAAATATT